CATCGACTTCACTGTGGTTCTGATTAAGATTCTGATTCAATTGCGATTCCAGGCGCTCTTGCTCACTGAGCGTGGAGAAGAGCAGGGTGCCGGCACTGGGCGTTGCTGTTGTTGTTGTTGAGCTGCTGCTGCTGCTGGCCGGCGGCTTGGTAGCGGTTTCGGTAACGTAGCTACCACTACCGCTACCACTAGTGGCATTGTTGTTGATGATGTTGTTAATGAATATTTCATTAATGAGTATTTCGGCTGCCGAGGCGTTGCTCAAGGCGGGAGCCACCGTCTCCGGGGCAGTGGTGCTGGCGGCGCAGGCTGTGGGGCTGCTTGGCGTGCTGATGGTGGTCACACTGGTGACGACAACGCCACCGCCGGTGCCAGTGTTGTTGAGATTCGACGGGAGCGATGATGGCGGCATGAGTGGTCCACTCACGAATCCAGACACAAAGGTGGCATTGCTGAAGGGTGCACTGCCATTGGTGGTGGCGGTGGTGGTGCTCGAGGTACTGGAGCTGCTGCTGCTGCCGCCTGCCGATGGCTTCTGTTCCGGTATGCTGAGCGTCAGCTTATCGCCTCCCTATTTTCGTGGTTTAGCGAGCATACAGGCACACACACACACACGCAAGCACAAGCCCAAGCAACACACGCAAATACGCGGATAAACATTAAGTGCGGACAACAAATGGAAATAAAAACGTACAAACAGAAGGCATGAAACGAGTGCAATGCTGTGGCTTAAACTGGTTCGCTGGCCGACAACTTACCACTGATATGTAGGTGGCGTTCAGGGAATCCGGTCCATCGCTGCCGATGCTATTGGTGTTGGTGTTGCCCGAAATGCTTGCGTTGCTCGGATGCATGTTGCTGGGGTGGGCGGCTGGCACGAACATCTGGTTGGTGAGTTTGGCGTTACCTCCGGCGCCCAGTTCCTCCTCAACGCGAGCTAAAGGATAAATGTGCAATACTTTTATTAATATAACTCTTTGAAGTCAAGTACAGATGCAAAGGAAAACAATATGTTTTTATTAAGCATTTTGAGACTGTGTGAAACGTTTTAGTGTCTCAGTAACTAAGGTTTAATCATATTTTTATAGTTTTTCTGCATTCTTAATATTATTTAAATAGAATCAAGCGTATAACACAGGTTAAGCAACCTAGAAATTAAGCCATGGACCGCAATATATAATTTGCAACAATGTATACTATATAATTTAAAGCAATTATTTTTCCAATTTAGTATGACACAGAATATTCATGACTGAGCAAAATATAAGAGAAATCAAGACCCAATCAAATTGTAATTAACTTACCTTTTAGTATATTGCACTTGATATTGCCAGGAGGCAGAGCTGTGGTGCTCACATTGGCCAGCTTCACCTGGTTGTTGGGCTTCTCGTTGGCGTTTGAGAGGCGCTTCAGTGTCTCCGTGTTGTGGTCCATGTCAAAGGTCTTGTTTATGGTCACCCTGTCGGATTGTTCAAACTCTAGTCAATATATTACATTAACTAGACGCTGATTACACTACCTGATACTGTTAGCATCGTTAATGGCTTCGTTTGCTAGCACTGATGGGGATGGATCTTTGACAATGGACTTAAGCAATGAGTCTAGCTCCCTATCTTTATCCGACAAGCCGCTCTTAACACTGCACGAAGGTGAACACAACACAGAACGAGAGAAAGACAGGTGAGAGACACAGAAACACAGGCGCATTAGTCAATCGGGAAGTGTAAGCGATTTGGATACGTTTTTGGAAACAGTGAGCGATTCAAAGGGCTTACCTGAGCTGGCCCGAGCTAATGGAAGCCTTGCCAAAGCTGCCATGATGGGAGGAGGATGCATTCCGGAATGGATTCGTCTCATCAAAGTTCTTGGTGGCGTTCGGTGAGTACGGAGGCGTGTACTCCGGATCCAACCTTTATAATAGACAAATACACTTTAAGTAACAAACAAAGATTAAAGGATTTACTTCTTACTTCACAGTCAATCCCGCTGCCTTGCCAACGGAACCAATTTTGCTGTAAGCCGGATCTTCGTTGCTGAAGTTGGACTTGAGGGAATTGCGACCCAGGGAGGCGCAGGTGGCCGCCGCCGCCTGAGAGGAGGAACTGATGGAACTGCTGCAGGCAGCGTCCGGTTCAATGATGGCCGAGTTCTGAATGACGGTGAGCACGGAGAGCGAGGGCGTTACGGTCATAAACTGATCGGTGGATATTAGAGAGTCGAAGGGGTCGTTATTATTATCATGGCTCGGTGCCGGGGATGCTACATGTGTAGTTACTACAGGGGGCACTGGCACTGCCGGTTGGGATGCAGCAGCGGCCGCCGCAGCTGCAGCAGCAGCACGAGCATTAACCGTAGCCACGGCTGAAGCGGCATTCTCCTGGGAAGCCTTCTGCCTTTCACGTAGCAGATGCGACTGCCGGCTGGCAAACCGCTGCGATGGACGTCTCTCAAATTGCACGGTTCTCCTAGCTCGACTCTGCTGCGTGGTCTGGAATTCAGT